ATTAAAAAAAAAAGAAGGTATTTGTAGCTTACTGAATTTAGATGAAATCAGTTGCAGACATTACACTGAATTAACTACAGAAAAGAAGGAAAGGGAATTATAAAAAAAAGTCGGGCTTAGGAATAATACCGGCTCGTTGCTTATTATCGTTCATATTTGCACCAGTATTCGTAATAATGTGCAAAATATGTTCTATAATATAAGATCTAGCCGTATCCATCTCAATATTACTATGTAATCCCCTCAAGATACCAGAAATGAAGTTTTATATGCTCCTAATACGGAATGTAATTAAATATTTTTTCAGAATATTATGCAATTTAATCGGAAATGGTTTGAAGTCGCTCATAAAACATAAAACTTTTTGATATAGGTTGGGGTATTTGGTCAATCTTAACCCTGATCAACAAAAGATTGTGGAATTAGGTATCGACTCCTGAAGTAATGGATGAAAATAGGATGAGAACATTGAACTTTATGTCAAACTAGGGACGATAATGAATTTAATTGGTTTTGTGTCTTTCTATAATCTGCCAAACTTCTTCAATGAAAGCATGATTTCAAAACAGGTGTTTGTGGTTTATTTGCATACAACCAATTATAGGATGATTGCATTGTATTGGAGTAATTCATAACTTTCACATCTTGCCGTAACAAGCCAAAAATGTCTAAATTTTTTATTGTTGTCTCTGGTTACGTATTTTATATCTCATATAAATGTACAAGTTAAGACTTACTGTCGACTGCTTGTACATATTCTACCATTTAAAAGAAGAGGCAGCTTTACACATCTTATTTTAATACCCGCCAGCCGGTTGTATATGAATAACCCATCATTTATATTTCTGTATATGGCCCTTCGCATGTACTTTAACGCACCTTAGACATTCATACCAGTTCAATTTTTTAACTATATATTGTTAAAATTAACGCAGTGCAATATTATTTTGATAGCTTCGCTCGGATTATCTTATTATACTATTTTTTTTTTGTTGTCTTCTATTTTCTTTATATTCAAACTGATATGGGCTTCTGCTATTTACTATATTATTTTGTTTTTTACTTCATAATAAAATCAACAAGTAACAAATGGTTAGATAGACAAGTCAAAAAAAAAAAAAAAATCCGATAGGTCCTTTATGGTTATTTTTTTCGTAAATATTTTATAGGAAATAATTTTGTAAAACTCTTTCTATCCCCATATAGAAGTTAAGGGATTGGTTTTTCAATTACAAAATATTATTATGTATATAGGTTATACAAAATATTCAATACATTCTGATGCACATAAAAGTATGTTACAAAGAATAAAGATAATAAGCACCTGAATAATGGTGTACACGCTGCATAATACGACTCGAAGAGAGAATTCTCTTTATATATAGCAATTTTTACTTATAAGAGTGTATAAGAACTGCTACACAATGCCAGATGAATGCGAAATTGTAAATGAAAAATTTGTAATATAAAAATGAGCAAAATATCAAAAAATTTTTTACTATTTTTTTATTGCATCACCCTATGTTACTAATGTTGCATGGTTGTTGTTTTTGTTGTTATTGAATTTTCAATTTACCATACCAATACTATTTATTATGGTTACTTGCTTATTTTTCATATTAACTATTTTATATGGATACCAAATGTGAAATTTTATTTTTTGTTTTTTGCTTTTTGTGTGCTTTGCATCTTCTCAATGCACAGAAAAAAAAAACAATGGACAATAGGAACATAAATCAGTGTAATTAGTTTCTACTTTCGATATTTTTTAAAAAATATATACATGTTTATAAACACACTCATATACTATATATAACACGTAAATATATTGAATTTCAAGTACTTTTTTAAAGTACCTTACTTACATATTATTAAAATGTGCATATAATGTACATAATAAAAAAATCTGTAAATAGAAATATGTAATAATAAAGGTAAAAAGATGCAATATGTAAAATTAAAAATAGTAAAAAGCGAGGAAAAATACAGTTGACCATGTCAACTAGGTGATACCCGTACGAGTTTTTTATTCAATGGAATAACAAATACTCGTATTTTACCACTGACAATAGGACAGACATGACTTTAAGTTGCCATATTACCATATTAATTTATGCAAAATTGCAGTACTGTGTTCTTCAAAATACTGTGTGAGCCAAACTACTATTGAAGTTATATGGCAGTTACCACAAGGAGTCAAGAAATTTTAACGATTTTTAGTACACTTGACAGCCCAAGTAATATATCCGTTTGTGCGAAATTTCAGTGCCATAGCTTCTATAATTTCTCAGATAAGGCAAAATAAATTTTAAAGTTGTACGGCAACCATCCGAACCAGTACCTCGATCGTATCCAATTTGAAAAGGTTTCTGGTATTTACTACCAAAAATCATTTGTGAAAATTTTGTAACCTTAGCTCAATTAGTTTTTAAGTTATTGCCGGCACGGACAGATTGTAGATTTGTAGAAGAAGGGCAACCGTGCACCGCGACCACATATAAGGATCTATTGTGCGCCCTCCCACCCCCCCTAGTGCGGGGCATGCCCTACACCACGCTCGAGACTCATCCTCTTGATGAACTCAAGCAACTTGTGAGGGCCGGAAAACCGCAATCCCGCCGCCGTTAGAGCAAAGACCCACAGAACCTTTTCCCTCCAGGAGGTGCACCGAGCTCTCCACACACTTCACACAGAATCTGCAAGTATCCTCATTTTCCAGGCCCAGCCGACTGAGGTGTCCCCTAAGTCTGCAGTGACCCGTTTAAATGCCGGTGAGGACTCTCACCTGGTTCTTGCCTATCGCTATAATCTTCTGAAATCGCTTCTGGTTACAATCTCCCAGGAGCTCCTTGGGAGATTCTCCAGCGCTCCCACTGCTTTCTTCCTGTTTCCTTCCTTAATATCCCATCGCTATCTATCCCATCGGATAGTATAGTCCGGTTCCGCAGAAGGGCTCAGGCCCAAGAAGAGGTGTGTTTGCCTCCCTCTTTGCAAGCGCATCAGCGGACTCCATTCCTTTCAGGCTCACATGACCCGGGACCCAACGCAGTGTAACCCGATTGCGCCTGCCCAACTCATTGAGCTTCTCAAGACCGAAAATGAGTTCAGCCCTCCGATGGTAACCCGGCTATCCGACATAATCCTTATCTCCTGCATCCGATACCCCTTTCCAAGGCTGAACCGCACGCACAATTCAATGGCGTGCAACTCGGCCTGAAACACACTCGGAAAAGTACCCATAGGTTCGGAGAATTTGGTTCTTGGCCCAAAACATCCCCGCACCGGTCCTCATGCTTTTTCTTGACCCATCTGCGTACCATCAAACAACGTGTGTTCCCGCTGGGTGAGCTGGAAAGTCACGCTCCCAGTCCCTCCTGTTACTCAGCAAGAGAAAAAATTTTTCTTGAAGCTGTACCTCCATACCATGTCGTCCCTAGGCATCGATAGGAGCGAAACCTTCCCGACAAGACGGCCTCAATCCCTCACTCCGATCATTCCATTTCTTCTCAACCTAAAAATGGCAGCCTTCGCTACTATCTCCACAATGAGGTGCAAAGGGGTTAGTCCCAAAATAACCTTCATTGGAACGAACAGACAAACGGACATGGTGTAATTAACTCAGAATTCGACGCTGATCAAAAACATACACTTATGTCTATATGCATTGTCTCTTATCGTTACAAATGGTAAGACAAATTTAATATACCCTTCGAACATACGTTCGTACTGGTATAAATACAACAAAAAAAGCAAATTTCAAAAAAATGAAATTTCATTTTTCTTCAATTGAATTTCTCTTATATAGGAGCGAAACTATTGTAGAGTGATATCTGTTTAGCGGTGCACACAAAAAATATTATGTAAATACAAAGACGCGAAAAATATTAGCATACTATTTCTACATTGACCTATACGACATTTTTGCTTCCTTTAGAAATTCAATTAAGCAAGAAACTCAAATTTTAATCGTTAAAAAGAGGAAGCAATTTATTGTTATAAAATAGATTTAGAGCAATTATTTCGCGTTAAACATTTAAATTCGGAGCTGGAGAGGCTGTAAAGCTTCTAAGTTTTTAAGGTATTTCACAGCAAATGAGGCATATATCTATATTTCGCAAAAAATATCTCCTGTAAGAGTTTTTTGTATAAGTACAATTAATTTTATTATTCAAGTTAATTTGATCTTCCATATTAATTCCATAATGAGAATAGCTTCATAATAATTTCGTTACAACTCCTAAATGCTGGTGTTTGCTTCCAAATCAAATTCAAATTGGTCAAAGAATTCGTATGGTTCTAATGACTGCTTAGATTAGAAAAGAACGCAAATTCAAACACAGAAGAACCTATTAAAATCAGCTACACTCTCATTATTATCAGCACAATCAAAGACAAAATTTTCTTATTTTTCAAAAAGTATCTATGGAAAATAACAGAAAATACAATTTCATGCTCGATAGAATGTACTGAACACAAAAAAAAAAATTCAAATAACCTATGATTGGCGCTTATTCCCTCGTATTATTGAAAAACAAAAAACATTTGAAAATTTTTGTATACACGTTAGATATGAAATGCATTTTAAGGCGGTTAAAATTTTCTTAAAGGGCTCAACCAATGATTTCTTTGGAATTTGTTTTCAAAATAAAAAATAAAGGAGAAAACAGCCGTGATCACGTTCCTTTCTAATGCGTTTTTTTAAGGTATATGACATGGAAGTGCCTTTTTCAAAAAAATCAATTCTAAGCAAAGGAATTTTTTTAAAAGAAAAATAAAAAATTTTTAATAAACGCATGAAAAACGATCATTTCCTTTAAAGGATATTTTTTGTTTGATAATAAACTAAAAAAAATTTAAATATTGTAACATTGTTGGCCATAAAATTTAATTATAGTTAAGGTTCAGCATTAGATTTAGAATATAATTTAAGTACTTCAATAGTCGTAATAATAAAACTTTCCCTTTTAATATTTTCTAGAATGTGATGAAACATCAGACCACCAAGATGAAAGACGATCTAGCACAGAAAATTTAGATACAAAATCTAGTTCAACAAATATACCAAATGATATTAAAAATTCACCAGCATCATCATCATCATCAACACCTTTATATATTCCTAATTATACAGAATCACTAGAATCAATAAAACCAACAATAACAGATCTATCAAATTTACAAAATTCGGTAAAATTTTTACAACAATTTCCAATTTCTAAATTAAAAACAAATACAATTGATAATGACAATAATATTATTGATGATGATTACGGCAACAACAATGTAAACAATGATAATATTATTGGTTGTGATGTCATCAATCCAACAATTAATATTGGAAATTATAGTAGCAGTAGTAGTAGTAGAAATAATAATAATAACAATAATAATGATGATAATAATATTAATGACCATAATGTTATCATCGATGATGACTGTGATATAAAATATTCAATATCATTGAAAAAAAATAAAATTATAAATAAAGATTTAAAGTCATTGCATCAATTAACTTCATCTTTACAAACATCTAATCATTCATCAAGAGAAAATTTAAAAAAAAATATTGAAAAATTAATATCAACAACAGAAACATCATCATTAACATCATCATCGATAATAACACCAACAACAACTACAGCAATATGTGCATCAACAACAATAAAAGATGAATATTCTCGAATTGATAAATCACCGATACTATTCTCAAATCCGATTAAACATGAAATATCAAGAGAACAAGAAAATTGTGATAATTTATTACCATCAATATCATTGTCAACATTAAATAAATCAACAATACCATCAACAACAACAACTGGAACAGGAACATTAGGAACAACCGGAACATCAATAACAAAATTGAAATCATCATCAAATTTTAAAAGAGAATCATCAGCATCACCTCCATTACCACCTAGAAGTATTATTACCTTATCAAATAATTATAATATAAGTGGTATGAATGAATGTATAAAAAATATTGAAAGTGGTAATACAAACAACAATAAAACAAATAGTAGTAGCAGTAACAGTAAGAATTCATTAAAACAACGTAATAATAAAAGTGATAATAATAAAAATAATATAAAGAATGAAGAAGATATAATATTAACATATGATCATGAAGATTATAATATAAGCCAACCACCACAGAAATCAATAATTTCCGGTTTAGAAGCATGTGTTAAACAATTAAAAACTGAATCATTAAGTAGAACGAAAAGAACAGCATATGAATCATTTAATCGAAATAGATTATCAAATAATTCTGATAGTATTCTATTACCATCAACTACAAATTTATTTCAATCACAATCAACAACATCATTATCACCACATTCGTCATCATCAACGACACCAATATCATCTACTGCTACCACATCTAATATAAATCAAATGCCTACAAGAATTACAAGAAGTAGTAGTCGTTTAGCTGCTGCTGCTGCTGCAGCTGCTGCTACATCAGGTACTTCAACTACAACTTCATCTAATATTAATGATTTTAAGATGTCAAATACTTTAAATGAAAAAAATTTAATGAGTACAAAATTAAAACAATTTGAATCAACAAATCGTCTCACCGGAAATAATCGAAGACTTGAACGAGATTTAAAAAAATTAATGAATGAAAGGTAAGTGAAAATTTAAAGTTTTCTTTTTTTCTTTTGAATAAATTAAATTTTTTAACGGTGGAATTATAAATTTATGGTGATTACAATTTGCGTCTAAACAAAAATTAAATTTATTACTACAATAATTTAGAGTTTCAGGTAGAATTGCTAGAACTGTCGACAATTTTGCCAAGTAACCCCAATTTATTACAAACTATTCCGTATTGTATAATGCTCTTTATTATATTTCTAGAAATTTATCGAACTCTTGGCTCTCAATAAATAATTTGCAGTGTGATAAAAACGAAATGTGTATGATAGTTTCGGAATTGGAGGTCACATTTTAAACAGTTTGTAAAATTTTTAAAAAATCAAATGTAGAACGTTCAAAATGTTATCAATTTTGTGTACAAGTATGATATACACACGAACTAATATGATTGCTTCAAACAGAGAGACAAATATTGACAAAATATAAGGCGAACACTATATGAGAGCAAACTATATTTAAATACTTCCTAATATGCTTACAAACGCCGTAATACATCACAAAATACCGTAACATATACCGTACTATAATTTTTAATGACAAAACCAAAATTCCATTTCATATTTTTCATTCATTTTTCATAAATTTTATGATTGCATCAAATTTAAAATGTCATTATTACACTTTTCTATAATATTTTCTCATTATTATCCTTCATCATTCAATATCCTCCCTTGACTATAGTTATATACACAAAACAAAAAATGAATCTATCATTTTCAATCCCTTAAGTATAAAAATCCTTAATTTTCTAATCATCATTTTTTCCACAACAATAATGCAAAAATTGCATTCAATTTGATTGACTTCGATTTCGAAATTTTCATAAAATTTGCATTGACGAAAAATAGAACGAAAAATAAAAATAAATGAAGACCAAAGACCTAGGTATACAGGGTGTCCGGGACTCAATGGTATTCCCGAAGCAGGGTGATAGAATACATGTAGACGAACAAAAAACACCTAGTGACATTTTCCTTTTTGGGCCCTTGTTCTCGAGTTATGGGGCCTCAAAGTTGGAACATCCAAAAACCGGCTTATTTTCACATTTTTATTTATAACTCGGGAAATGTGACAGGTAAATCCAATCTTGTACACTCGTTTTAAAGCTAATGAAATACTCATTCTAACGGTTTACCAGCGGTTGCAAATACTTTTTTAGTTTCAGAGATATTTAAGTGCAAAGTCAAAATTTGTTAAAAATTTTTTTTTTAAATTTTCGTTTAACCGTCATTTACTCATAATTCCTCGTTATCAACCTATCATTTTTTTTACAGGAAGACGAGCCCTATATTCTGACCTTCATTTTGATATGACATAATGTGGGAAAAATTTTAGAAATAACATGTCTATCAGGCGAAAACTGAGGCCAAAACCTTAGAAAATTAACTAAAACAACGTATTTTTCAAACAAAAACAAATTTTTTTAATCTTTATTGCGCAGTATATGCATTATTAACATGCACTTTTTTTTTCAAAACGAAAGACATTTGCATTACCTTTTTTTCTCCACAAAATATTTCCAAAAGTTTCAGGAATATCGTGTCTACGGGGATCAAATTTATAAAAAAATTAGTTATAATCGATAAATTAGTTATAATCCAAGAAATATTCACCCTTTAACCTTCTTTGTGTTTTGTTATTATTCGAAAAATGTAATTAGTAATCTTCACCTGTAGGTAATATAGAAAATTTTAATTTTCTTATTATTTACAAGAGTGTTTTTTATTAGGAAAGCCAAATTAAAGTGATCAAAATTAACTAAAATGCTATTTATACAAATTTTTCTATTTCATACCCTTAATAATAGTTTAAATAATATGAATCAAAATTAAAAGTACTTTTTTTTAGGTGAAGTTCATTAGTGTTTTAAATCTTGATGCAACAGAAATTTTGCAATTTTTTTGATACTTAAGTTGATTTAAATAAAAGTGAAAAGTGGTTGGAGCAATAGGGTCCAATGTAGTTATGATAAAAAGTATTTAATTTTTTTTTCTGATTAAGAATACTAAAATACTTACTAACTCTACTTTCATGTGAATAAGAATATTAAAAGTACCAATTAAAAGTATTAGTAAAAGTATTATTATAAGGATATATGGATATAAAAAAAGGAAGTTTACTTACAAAAAAACGTTCTTGTAAGTAATATGAAAATTAAAATTTTCTATATTACCTACAGGTGAAGATTACTAATTACATTTTTCGAATAATAACAAAACACAAAGAAGGTTAAAGGGTGAATATTTCTTGGATTATAACTAATTTATCGATTATAACTAATTTTTTTATAAATTTGATCCCCGTAGACACGATATTCCTGAAACTTTTGGAAATATTTTGTGGAGAAAAAAAGGTAATGCAAATGTCTTTCGTTTTGAAAAAAAAAAGTGCATGTTAATAATGCATATACTGCGCAATAAAGATTAAAAAAATTTGTTTTTGTTTGAAAAATACGTTGTTTTAGTTAATTTTCTAAGGTTTTGGCCTCAGTTTTCGCCTGATAGACATGTTATTTCTAAAATTTTTCCCACATTATGTCATATCAAAATGAAGGTCAGAATATAGGGCTCGTCTTCCTGTAAAAAAAATGATAGGTTGATAACGAGGAATTATGAGTAAATGACGGTTAAACGAAAATTTAAAAAAAAAATTTTTAACAAATTTTGACTTTGCACTTAAATATCTCTGAAACTAAAAAAGTATTTGCAACCGCTGGTAAACCGTTAGAATGAGTATTTCATTAGCTTTAAAACGAGTGTACAAAATTGGATTTACCTGTCACATTTCCCGAGTTATAAATAAAAATGTGAAAATAAGCCGGTTTTTGGATGTTCCAACTTTGAGGCCCCATAACTCGAGAACAAGGGCCCAAAAAGGAAAATGTCACTAGGTGTTTTTTGTTCGTCTGCATGTATTCTATCATCCTGCTTCGGGAATACCATTGAGTCCCGGACACCCTGTATAACAAAATAAATGTTAAAATTCCTCGTATTACAAAAAAAAAAAAGGCTCGAAAAAAAATTCCATTTCACTTTTAGCATCCCACCCAAAAAGGCCATTCTGTGGTAATAATGAATGCATTTTGTATATGACAATTGAAACATTGATGTCAGTCTTGTGGCCACTACACTGATAAATACCATATGAACATCATCGAAACCAAAAAAAAAAAAAACAAAAGCATCCATTGAAAATAGTTGAAAAAAAAAGCTAAAATGTTAACTGACAGCTTGTACTCTTTTCTGTTTTCATTTCTGATTTTCTCATTTTTTCCATTTTATGCAATTTTATTTATCTTTCATCTATGGAACAATGTTATAAAAATAAAAATGTACTTATTTTATAGTACTATTGCAGTAGCAAGATAGCTGCAAACCAAAATTTTAATAAAAACATGCAAAACAATACAAAAGTGTGAAACAAAAAAAAAATCCTTAGCATTTCAATTTAGAATAATGTTAACGTACACGCGGTACACTTACACATCCATATTGGAGAGGTGTGAGTGATTCAAATATAATGAATAGAATGATTTTTAACATACCAATTTAATAGATGACTGAAGAAATCATAGAAACACCATAACTGTTATAATATAATATGCATATGAATCTCTGCATAAGTTTAACATTATGTGCACGAGGTCTAATGTTGAATGGTTTTCCACACAAAAATTTAACATTGTCGAATACAACATTCGATCTTGCCGTGTCACAATTTTGTACAGTTACAATCTTCTCTTAACTGACGATAATTATTATTTTCCCAAATTACCTAAATATTGTACACTCTAAAAAATAATTGGAATAATTGAAAGTATCCAAGTACCTTAAACATAGCTCGATGACAGTAAAGCTTTAACTGTTCGGGTTGGTATGTAAAATAAAAAGGAAATTTTTTTACTACACTTCAGAGAGGAGCGCGTTCATTCTAACGTACTGAATATTATCATCCGTTAATTTACTTAAATTAATAATTATCAATAATTACGCCAATGTCAATTTTACGGTATATTTTACGGTAGATTTTTAATCAAATTCAATTAACGCTAAAATATTCTTCAATTCTTCAATTATCGCACCCGTTTTCGACAGGATTTTTTGCAGTGTGCGAGGGTAATAAAATATTTTCTGAGTAAGAAAAACAAAAGAGCAAGTACCATACTATACATAGAACAAAAAAAAAAAGAATTAACGGTGTGATTGAATAAAAATGCATTTGACTGATACCGTTATTTTAACCGTTACACTAAAATGTAACTTAAAACTTATTGTAACGCTCTCTTTCTTCATTTCCATCATCTTGCTTCTCTTCACTCTTCTCGCATTTCACTACAATAAAATTTATTACATTCTGTTATTCTCTCATATCGTTCTCAGCTAGGTACGTACTTATATCATACATCATTCTTGGGAAATATTCTATTAAACTGCAAAATAAAAATAAAAAAAATCATAATAATAAAAAGTGACAACGTCAAAAAAAAAACAGAGTAAAATAAGGGGTTGAAGAATAATGTACGCACTGATAGTGCATACAAACCTACACAATGCATGTTCTATGAATTTGGTTGAAAATACACGTATATGTACACATACACACCTATTTAAGTGCACTGTAAAACGTACATACAATTATATGCAATGCGTGAGGGTAACCGTTGTGGACAAGTTGACATAACGATTTATTTTATAATTTTTAGTAAAAAATTTATTTATACTGTTTTTTTTTTTTTAATTTTTGTGTAATTTTCTTTGTTTTTATTTGGTTGTGATTTTCTCTTGTGAGAAACAAAAAAGGCATAAAAGAAATTATGCACAACCTAAAAGCTTGTTAACAATATGAATGCGTTTGTATGAATGTCGTCATACAAGGACTTAATTAAAATAAAAAAAAAAAATATTTAAAAGATCAAATAGAAAAAGTGAATCTAGTGCATGAAATCAGTGTTGAGCTGTGAAATGATTTT